GGATCCACTGCGTGCTGAATGAATGAATACTACTACTACTACCACTACGACTACGACTACTACTACTACTACTACTACTACTATGACTACTACTACTACTACTGCTGCTGCTACTACTACTACTACTACTGCTGATGCTGTTGCTACTCCTAGCACCATTGCCACAATCGGTGCAGTTGATAATACAGCCACGGAAAACCCTAAACTTCAAATCCCATTCCTGAATGTTTAGGATTTGGATAACCATCTCCAAATATCCCGAGGCTGCGCGGCATGGGCAAACAGAAGGCAGCGTCCATAGTCTACCTCGTTAGCCCCTCTGTCACGGAAGAAAGTGGACATGTTAGGTTTTGGCTTTGGAGTTTAGGGTTTAGGGTTTAATTACCGAAAAGGCTGATTGTGGACGTCCAGCTGCAATTTTCAATTGTTTGTGTGAAAGCTTGTTTGTTTAAATTGGCCTTCAACCCCTAAACCGGCGACTTCGTTGATATAGGGGGCTTGAAATAATTACCTGTACTATTTTCGGGGTTCCTTATGATAACTGTAGTATATTACCCCAAAGCCCTATTCTAAATTATTAGGGCCCCTACATTAGGTTCAAGATTGCAGCTCAGGATTCATTGGGTACCAGGGTTTGATGCGCAGGCATCTGTTCAAGCTTGAAGCGCTGACACCGAAACCCTGAAACCCTAAACCTAAAGCCTAAACCCTGTGAAACCCTAAAACCCTATGAAACCTGAACCCTAAAGCCTAAACCCCCTAAACCCTAAACCCTGAAGCCTAAACCCTAAAGCCTACACCCTAAACTCTAAGCCCTAAGCCCCTAGACCCCTAAACCCCTAAACCCTAGACACCTAAACCCTACACCCTGAAAGCCTAAACCCTAGAGCCTCAACCCTAAACCCTAAACCCCTAAACCCTAAAACCCTAAAGCCTAAACCCTAAACCCTAAACCTCTAAACCCTAAACCCCTCAGCACTAAAACCCTAAAGCCTAAACCCTATCCCCTAAACCCCCAAGCCTGAACCCTAAACCATGAGTGCAGCGATTGATGACAATCTATGCCTAGAGGCTTCGGTATGAGGGCGCCAACGCTACACTACTGCTGATGAAATACACCTTGCATTACCTTGAAGACCCTGAAGGTTTAGGGTTTAGGGTTTAGGGTTTAGGGTTTAGGGGTTTAGGGGTTTAGGGGTTTAGGGTTTAGGGTTTAGGGTTTAGGGTTTAGGGAACCTAAACTATGGGAATTAGGGTACATTCCTTGTTAGGGGTAATGCAGGGCTTATATCATCAACCGTATGACAAGCTTAAAGCCGTAAGCGCAAGTCGAAGCTGGTAATCAAGGGTTCTATGCGAGTTTTCTTCCATAGGGTTTAGGGTTTTGTGTGGCTTGAAATATGTTGTTTATGTGGGCTTCTTTACGGGGCTGTGTCGTATGATTTTGTAGGGTTTAGGGACAATCAACTTCACAATTTTTTTGGCTCTACAGTTCCAAAGCAGTTGTCGCGCTGGCGAGGATTATGATATACGCCGGCAGCCACTGTCTAATCTCAGGCTTCTACCCTAAATCCTTAGACGGCCCTAAACCCTAAGCCCCAAGCCCTAATCTCCTTAACCCTCAATACCAAACTCTAAGCCCTAAGCCCTAAACCCGAAACCCTAAACCCTAAGCCCTAAACCCTAATCCCAGGCTTCTACGTGATCATGCTCCCCGTGCCTTGGAGAGCAATCGGCTATTTTGCGGGGGGCGTGGCCCAGCCCACTCCTACAGCTGCAGGCTCCACGGGTTTAGGGTTTAGGGTGCAGGAGCCCAATAAGGAACCCGTAAAGCAACCCTTTCACACCCTACAAGAAATCCGTATAAAGTCCTTAAAGGAACAAGTTTGAAACTCCCTTGGAGGATACCCTCAAAAGGAACCCTTTTTGACACCGCCAAAGAGAGCAAAGGTCGGCTGCGCGCTCGTTTGGCCTGCGAAGCTGGGTGTCGAGGGGATGTGGTACTCGATGGTGGCCTTCCTGAAACTTCTTGGGATGTGATTCTATGGGTCCGAATACTTACAAACACTGTTGATTGGGGTGTTTTAGAATCGTATTGTAATATTCTGCGAAGCCATGTTCTGAGACTGATACGGATCGGAGCTTCGCCTGGGTTTAGGGTTTAAGATGGTTTAAGGTTCAGGGCGGCGCTGTTGTGTGGGTCCAGGCCAAGCACGTACTTTAGGGTTTAGGGTTTAGGGTTTTGGGATCCTGCCTTTACATCTACGTGCCGCTGAACAACAAGCCTCCTAAGTATAGAAGACTAGATGATAAATCACTGTCGGCGAGCCCTAAACTTTACGTCCTATACCCTACGCCCCAAACCCTCCATTCTAAAGCCGGAGCACTACGTCCTAAACTCTGTCCTCGAGCCCTGAACTATTACTTTCAAACATCCTGAAGCTCCACCAATAATCGCAATCAACACACTACTAGTAGTAAGTACCATCATAGTTCAACAATAACACTAGTCATCATCACCATCATCAACATCATCCTCATTACCATCACCATCATCATCATCATCATCATCATCATCATCATCACGATCATCACCATTACCATCATGTCCGTCATCACCATCATCATCATCATGATAATCATCATCATCATCATCATCTTCATCTTCATCTTCATCTTCATCTTCATCTTCATCTTCATCTTCATCTTCATCATCATCATCATAAACCTAGTAAGGGTGCAGCTTGAGCCGCGTGGCATCCGAGGGCATCGGCACTGGTCTCGCGGTCATCGTACTCGGAGGCATCCTTTACAAGGTCCGTTGGCACGAAGTGTGAGGGTTTAGGGCACAGAGTTTAGCGTTTCGGGCTGAAGGTTCAAGCCCTGATTTGAAGGATCCGAGTGCTAAGCAGCATTGTTAGTGGTACTGAGGTGTTGGTCAGAGCCTTGAGTCGGGTAGGGTTTAGGGTATAGGGTTTAGCGTTTAGGGTTGAGGGTTGAGGGTTTAGGGTTTAGGGATTAGGGTTTAGGTTTCGGGGGATAGGGTTTAGGGATTTCTGTAGGGCAGTTTGGCTTCAGGATGCCAGAAACAGCAAGTTCTATGCCCCTCTCCTTACTTGGAGGGTCGGGGGACT